TTCATGCTAGTTGTCTGTTGTGGGACCGGCATTGTTGTTTTCCCAAGTCCATGACCTGTAACAAGTATCCTGATCAGAAGCTTTGACTTCACTGGCTGCATGCTCGTTCCAGGTCAGTGTCTCAGGAGGTATTGGATCACAATGACAGACAGGCAAATAATACTTCCATGAAGCAATGGCAGCAAGGGACTTTGTCACTTTGCCCGTTCAGGGCCACTGTTGCCCACTCACTGGCTCTTCATGTTCATCCAGTATCTTTTTTTGTTTTCTGAATGGAGCAGAAGGATTAAACGGAAGAAGGACATAACACTCCTCATTGTCGAAAGTAAATGGAAAAGCTGTGGCTGGAGTTGGGCTTGAATTAAAGCCCATGAAAAATCAGCTGTTGTGTTTGCATTGTCCATCTCCTTATCATTGTAGATTGTCCATCAGAAATCTCATTTGAGATGGGCATTAGAGAAGTAGGGACCGCTTTGTGGTTTTGCTTTGGAGCCCCTGCACACTATAGGGTCATACATTTGTGGACATCTGCCCATCACACCTATTATATGACGTAAGGTATGTGGACACCCCTACAAATGATTGAGTTCAGATGTTTCCAGTGAAGGGTTCTGGTAATGGTACATGTACAAAGACATCATAGACAATTGTGCTCTTCCAACCTTGTGGTAACAGTTTGGGGAAGGTCCTTTACTTTTTGGGGCACCACAATATAAATCTACATATATACAGTACATAAACTAGGGATGCACTAATAAGGTATCGAGTACCGATATATATATATTTTGGTACTCGTCGAAACCGAATACTGATAACGGAAGTCCCATTAAGGAAGCCGGGTGGCTTGTAATGATTGGCTTTCTCAATGGCCAACATCCCGATCAATCAGGAAACCGGGCGGCAAGTCATTACACGCTACCCGGCTTCCTGATTGGCCGGCTCCATGCTCTCTCGTCACCAGTTGACAACTAAGCATGGAGCCGGCTTTCTGGCTAATCAGGAAGCCGCGGGGGGGGGGGGGAGTAATGACTCGCTGCCCAGCTTCCTGGTTGGCTAGGAAACCAGCTCCATGCTCTGGTAATGAGGGAGCAGGTAGCCGGCTTTCCGGTTAATCAGGAAGCCGGGCGGCATGTAATGACTCGCCACCGGGCTTCCTGATATCGTAAGTTCCAGTATCGGGCGAAGCATTTGGGCGAGTACTCTGTATCGGTGCATCCTTAACATCAACAATACAGCAAAATGCCTGTTAAGTCAAGGGAGCCTGTCTAAAATATCCTAGGCAGGAGACGCTTGCAGATTCCAGACCTTAAAACAGGGGTGAAGAACCCCCGACCCTCCAGCTGTGGTGAAACTACAAATTCCATGAGGCATTGGGAGATTCTCACAGGTATGACTCCAAGAGGCAGATGCATCATGGGATTTGTAGTGTCACCACAGCTGGAGGGCTGGAGGTTCCCCTCCCCTGCCTTTTAAAATATGCAATCAGTATCCAAAAAAACAGATCCTTAACCCCCTTTGCCCAACCATAGGTTTATTGTACAAATCGGATGCACAGGTTAACCGGTATCAAGAGAGAAAAGACTTTATGGCGTTGTTTGTACAAGGTGCCTATTTGTGAAACGCGTCAAGGCTTTTTCTCTTCACGTCTGTTAACCTGCATCTGATTTGTACAATGAACCCGTGATGGAGCAGAAAGCTACGTGGACTCAATTTTTGGGGGATATTGATGCACATCTACAACACATTTAGGGCCCCTGCTGTGCTCGGCGGTAACTCATTATCGAACTGCCTGTTTAAGTGGCCTGAGGATAGACCAATGCTAAAGCAATTGTAAGCTCTACAACCCGGTGATTTTGCTTCACCTGTGGCAAAAACTTTAAAAGAACATGTTAAGATGAAACAAAATTATACCCGAATCCCGAATGGAGTTCTTCTTTAATGACGTAATTATCGTCCCTGCGAATTCTGTTTTTTTTTTTTTTTTTTTTTTTTTTTACCGCCTTCGTCTTGTGCGGTTTCATTCTTCTACCTGCAGTTGCCTGGAGGGAGCAATTTTCTTTTGTGCCAGCTTCTGTTTGGAAGCGCGGATACCTGCTGTGCCTTTCACCGGTCACCAGAGGGGGCCACTCAAAGCCCATCAGGCGGGAGGCGAATGGAAACCTCTTTTTCGGACAGTGTGCAAATTACATTGCAGCTTTGTTTTGTACCTGTTGGCATTAAAATGGCTTTTCCCCCCCTCAATAAAACGGTGCAAGAGTCTACTCTGCTTAAGTGCAACGCAGCACGTAACGCAGGAAAGTTCATTGCCCGGGTTTATATTTTCTGTTGCGGAATAAATAACGGATGAGTGCACCATCTGCCCTAATAGACCATTACTTTTACTCGACAGCATCCTTTTGTTTATTGTCCCTCATCACCGTCTGTTGGAAATGCAGCCCTCGTGTTCCCAGATTCCAACCCCGCCCCCTTAATGGAAGCTGTACAGTTCCAAAAGAAGTCTTAAAGCCGACCTTTACCCGTATCTTTAAAATAACAACAAAGACACCTTGTAGATTGTCATTACTAAACAATTCTAAAAACACATCCTTCTAGATAATTGCCGGCTTTCTATTCTTTGCATTCCTTATTTCTCTTTTCTTCCCCCAGTCTTCTGGTAGTGGCCATGTTTACTAAGGACAGATTACTAGCTCTCCTATTACTTTCTTGATTTCTGGCACATGTGACTAGGACATGTGACCATGCACATCATCTCAGGGGAGGAAAATACCTTTCCATGAGATCTCGTGAGATTACAGATGAGATTTCCCAGCAATGCTCTGCTGATGACAAGGCAATCCAAGAGTGCAATGCTTTGGCACACTGAAGTCATTTTGCCCTTTCCAAAATCCAAAAAGATTTAAGGCTGTTCTATAGGCAGAAATGTGGTCCCGCTGGTACCTAATAAAATGGCCAGTGTGCGCCTTTTTTTTTAACCAATATTTCTTTATTAACAAATTGCGTAGAACAGATGTTCATCAATAGAAAGGTGACACATATGAGCAAAATATAACAACAAATTGCATATATTATGAGAATAGCCAGAGGCCAGAAAAAGAATGACAAAAGTGAGGCAATATATAGACAACTTCCAGACCCTTTGTGTCTACAGTAGCATTGAAAACAGTGTAATTTAAGCAACAGAAAGATACAGCAAAAATCTTTTTTGGGAGATGCAATGGGGTCCAAGGGTGATGGAATGTACTATGCACTATACGGGGGAGGTTTGGGGAGATACAATGGGGACCAAGGGTGAGGGGCTAAGCACTATATGAGGGATGTTTGGGTAGATACAATGGGATCCAAGGGTGAGGGACTAAACTATACGGGGGAGGTTTGAGAAGATACAGAGGGGTCCAAGGGTGTGGGACTAAGAACTATACTGGGGAGGTTTGAGAAGGTACAATGGGGTCCAAGGGTGAGGGACTAAGAACTATACTGGGTAGGTTTGGGGAGATACTATGGGGTCCAAGGGTGAGGGACTAAGAACTATACGGGTGAGGTTTGGGGAGATACAATGGGATCCAAGGGTGAGGGACTAAGAACTATACGGGGGAGGTTTGGGAAGATACAGAGGGGTCCAAGGTTGAGGGACTAAGAACTATACTGGGGAGGTTTGGGGAGATACAATGTGGTCCAAGGGTGAGGAGCTAAGAACTATACAGGGGAGGTTTGGGGAGATACAATGGGGTTCAAGGGTGAGGGACTAAGAGCTATACGGGGGAGGTTTGGGGAGATACAATGGGATCCAAGGCTGAGGGGCTAAGAACTATACAGGGGAGGTTTGGGGAGATACAGTTGGGTCCAAGGGTGAGGGGCTAAGAACTGTACAGGGGAGGTTTGGGGAGATACAATGGGGTGCAAGGGTGAGGGACTAAGAACTATACTGGGTAAAAAGGAAAGAATTGATGCTGAAGGTGATATTGAACATCATAGCAGGTGTGGGAACATAGAAGTGGAAGCTAATGACCAAGGAGTACAGTAGTATGGTACATCAGAGAGCAGGGACATGAACCAAAACTATACAGTGGAGAAAATCCATCATACATCAGGTAAGGTAATCAGGGCGAAAACAATTTTTTTTAAAAATAAGCATCAATGACCAAGACTTGTGGAGCATAGGGATAGTAAGGGATTATCCTTTTTGAATCGGCTGTCTGCCAGCCAGCATGCCCAGATCAAAGAGAATGCATGCCATGTTTTTGGGGGCTCTGGCGAGGAGATATTCAAAGTGGGCATGGGTGTTAAAAATTGCTATTACTGTGTGTAAAGAGGGGATCTCTTTTTGTTTCCATGGTCTTGCTATGGCAAGTCTGGCCGCTACAAGGGCATGGGACACAAGGATACCATATGCATGAGGCCAGTTAGTAATGCCTTTTCCTAACATTGTAACTGGGGAGATGAACTGGTGAGCGCATTTTTTATTTCATGGTAGACATGCGCTTTTGAGGTGTTGTTGTCACGTATTGAACACGCTTCTGCAACCGTTGAGTGGCTCATATTGATCATTTGTAGCAAAGCATGTTGTCCTAGAAGAAATCCCGGCCTGTCCTTGGATTCGGCTCATCCACCAAAAAAAAAAAAGGTAAAGGGCTCGGCTGATTGTCTCTTAGACTCTACAATAAAACCAGATATTTATTTTCATTCCCTCTAGTCTGAATAGTAACAAAAAAAAAAATCCTTCGCCTTTCTCAGCACATTTTCCCAAACGCAGCAAATCCCGCCGTCCTCCATTTTAATTTCCTCAATCCGATGATAAACCGATTTTGACGGGGGCCGTGCGGCGCATATCCATTCAGGGTCTCCCCAGTTCAGAGGCGCCGGAGAAGCGGCCGCGCTGCCAACTGAGACCAGATATGGAATTCTTCAAATAGAATGGAGATTAAAGGCCGGAATATGCTGAGCTGTGTATTTCCCGGATTGCACCTATCTCTCTCTCTCTCTCTCGTTTACCTTTTTTGCAGATGATTGAAGAGTTTAAGGATGAGATGGTTTCTGAGAAGGAAGAGCTTTATCAGAAGTTGCAGGAGATTGTCCGACATCTTATCGCCTGCAACAGCGACCTGCCCGAGGTGGCCAAGATTGAGTGGACACTACATGTGGTGGACAAACCGATCATTAACGCTTTTGTGCTGCCGGTGAGATACGCCGAATTGCCGTTTATAATCTCCGAGGGTGCGGGGCGCGATGTTTGATGTAGTTCCCTAGAGAAATGCATGTCTGGGATACATAATCTTCTTGGTTATATCTTTTACTGCGTTGTTAAGAGAACCAAGACCGTATACTCTATAATATGGTTCTCCTCACAACACAGTACGTGTGGATGACAGGTGCCTACAACCATCAGACCATATAGAGTCTATATAGTTTGATGATTGTAGGTACCTGGCAGTTACACCTATATGAGCCTGTTGGACATCCCATCCTAAAAGCATGGCTGATAATATGGAGTTGATATCCTCCCCCTTTCTTTGCTTCTCCACTCTTCTGGCAAAGCTTTCCGCAGGATTTTGTAGAGTGTTTGTGGGTATTTCTGCCCGTTTAACCTGAAGAGCATTTGCTCTTTATGTACAGTATTGATGTGTGATGAGAAGACCTGGCTCCAGCTCACCCCAAAGGTGCTCAGTAGGGTTGAGGTCAGGGCTCTGTGCAGGACACTTGAGTTCCTCCACACCAAGCTCATCACACCATGTCTTAATGGAGCTGTCTTTGTACACAGGGGCAGTCATGGTAGAACAGAAAATGGTCTCCACCAAACTGTTACCACAAGGTTGGCAGAGCATAATTGTTTATATTTCTTTGCATGCTTTAGCATCAACAGAATATTTCACTGGAAGCACCCAAGCTTAATCATTTTAAAGGGTGTCCACCTAGTTTAACAACCCCGCCGCCCCTTCCCAACCACCACCATTATTTCATCTTCCCTTTTGAGGTGTGAACCTGGAAGTGCTTAGCTTGAGCACTTCAGGGTTCAGGGCTGTCAGATCTCGGTCACTGAGCCCTGGGAAACAGAAGATCTGTGACACTGAGTCCTCCTATACAGGTGAAACTCGAATAATTAGAATATCGTGCAAAGGTAATTGCAGTAAGTGCTGCAAAAGGGGCCCAAACCAAGTACTGAGTACATATGCATGCTTGTACTTTTCAGAGGTCCGATATTGTTCTATGTACAATCCTTGTTTTATTGATTGCATGTAGTAATCTACTTTTTTGAGGTTGTGGATTTGGGGTTTTCATGAGCTGTAAGCCATAATCATCACAATGATGACAAATCACGGCTTGAACTAATCACGGCTTGAACTATCTTGCTTTGCATGTAATGAGTCTCTCTCATATATTAGTTTCACCTTTTAAGTTGCATTAGTGAAATAAATGAACTTTGCACGATATTCTAATCGAGTTTCACCTGTATAAGCTCATATAGGTGTCCACAAACATCAAAACACGTGTTTAATTTAAAGCTAAATTCCGGCTTTCCCTTCAGTCTTGCACTGTTGTACCGGCTCCTCTTCCTCTGATTTCACTGCACACTGGGAGCTTCTCACAATGTGCATTAGAATCTGGAGCAAGTCTGATAGAGCCCACCTCATTTCCTGGCTGGAGGACGCCCAGCATCATCTAGTCTGACTGTCCCGCCAATTTCATTTATTGGATTTCAGTTCTTTTAATCATGGAGGCTCAGCATCACATGTGGGCGTTACCTTGCATGCAAATGCAGCCTGCCTAGGAATGCCCACTGACCCCGACTGACACCCACCCATCATGGCATTTTGATATTTGTATAACTCCTCCTGAGAGCCTGCCCATTGCCTGCATCAGTGCTGAGGGCTCTTAAGAGCATAGCTCAGTCAGGGTGCTGTTATGTCATCAGGAAGCTATGTACAGAACCCTACCGGCCCCTCCCACCAGCCATGATCTGCCTGCATTGAACAGAGAAGCACAGAGATCCAGTGATGATGTCATCTAGTTAAAAATAAGGTTTGTAATGAAAATGGAACGGCTTTATTTATTATCATGGTAATAAAGGAAGGAGGGAGGAACCAGGGGAGGTAAAATAGGAGCAGGTTATACTTCAGCTTCAACAAAAATCCAATCTGTTACACACATTACACGTATGTATTAGATTTGCTGTATGTCAGCATTTCCGATGTTGGATCATGTTAGTCGCTGGCAGGGAAGATCACAGGACACAGCTGCTGCATTTGGATGGAAATCCTGATATCATCTTAATGCCTTACATGCCTGAAGCCCTGGACTGGCGAGATTGTGTAATTATTCTTAGTACACAGCCAGGCCGATCCCGAGCTCGCCCGCAGAGGGTCTGCACGCCGTCTCCTTGTAAGACCACTTTTATTGACTGCATGTCCAACGATTTAGGGAGGCAGCAGGAGTGTCACGTGTACCCCAATACCTAAAAACCACTAGATATTTCCTGGTTACAATATCCACAAGACACGTGCATTCGGATTCGGACGAACCTGCAAATCAACGAAATTCAGTTGATTCGGCGATTCGTCCGAATCCGAAATAACAAATTTATTATATGCCCGAATATAGAAAAACTACCGTATTTGCCAGCATATAAGACGGCTGGGCGTTCCCGTTACCCTAAGGAGAACTATGGGGAAAAGCCTTAACCCCATAGTTCTCCTGTAATTCTTTTCAGAACGCGCAGTGCGCCATATTGGCCGCTGGCGCGTTCTGTCATAACCCACCGCCTGGCTTCCTGATTGGAAAGGAAGCTGACTCCATGCTCCCTCGGCACTGCCGGTCAAAGGGAGATCTCCCGGTATCGGAGGTAAGTATCGGAGCATTTGTACTCGCCCAAATGCTCAGTATCGGCACCGATACTGGTATCGGTACATCCCTAGAGTAAACAATTTCAGTCCAGGAAAGGAGCCGGTACAACTGTGCAAGACTTAACTTAAAGGAGAACTATGGGGTCAGTGTTTTTCCCCATAGTTCTCCTAAGGGTCACGTGAGGACATAAACTAGTGTCCTCCCGTGACCCAAAGCTCAGTATATAGGGAGCTACAGCTCGCGGTATACTGAGACTGCCGCAGCCGGGACGGATCCCGACATTACTGCCGAGATCCACCAAGCTGCGTGAGTGACAGCTGGCTCTGCCTATCTAGAGGCAGAGCCAGCTGTGCTCGCCCCCGTCCGTTCCGCCAGTCAGCGCTGGAGGATCAGACGGAGGGGGGGGGAATCCCTGCAGGGAGCCGTGAGTGACAGTCACGGCTCTCTGCAGCTACATGATCGAGATGTGAGCGAGCGATGGTATGTGTTCGCTCACTTCCCAATCTATTGAGCCGACGTGTGACCGTTTCATTGTCACACGTCGGCTCGAACTATGAGGATGAGTGATTTTCACTCGCCTCATTGTCCTCCTTTTAAGGCCTGAACCTGGCTTCATTTACTCGCTAGTTACTGACCTGGAACAGTCCTGAGACCAGTGCAGTCTGAAAGCCTGAAATCATATTTTTTATTCCAGGTCAGAATCGCATTGAGTAGTGAAATCAGGATAATCCGGGTTGGGATGGGTTCATTTCCTTCTGCCCGTAGTTTTGATTTCATATTTCTGTATCGCAGTGTGTATGGTATGCAGTAGTTGTTACATTTGTGCGTTATTTTGCAGAACGGTCAGATCTTCGTGTTCACCGGCATGTTGAACGCAGTGGCGGACAGTGACCAGCTTTCCTTCATTCTGTGTCATGAAATGGCGCATGCTATTTTAGATCATACGGTGAGTACACAAAGCAATCACTCGGACCCCTCTCAAATCTGCTGAATTATTTAAACATGTAGGTGGTGATGACCCTCGCCCGGTTCTCCCGGTATGTGCACCACGGCTCTGTGATCTGCAGCTGTTTGGTAGCATTGGTATTCATTGAAAACACAATTCAGGAGGGGAGTGTTGCATTAATGCCGGTTCCTGTAGAGCTGGATGCATTCATGAGGTGTCACCATCTTGCTGCCCCCCTGGAATGTGCCGCCCTAGGCAAATGCCTAGTTTGCCTTGTGGTAGATACACCCCTGCATCCAGGGATTCACACAAGGCCGACTCCAGTTTGCAATTCATTTTGCATACGCTTAGATGGGGCATAGGGCCTGCTTTTCATGCAAGGGATTGGGTTGAAGGCAGCCTGGCTTCCTAACCAATAAGGAAGCCAGGCAGCACGTAAAAAACACCCGCCTCCCTGATTGGACAGGAAGCCAGGCTGCCTAGGAACCAATGAAGCCGGCTTTCTAGCCAATCAGGAAGCCATGAGGCGGGTCATGACGTGCCTCCCAGTTTCATGATTAGCTAGGAAGCTGGCTTAACTTGTTGGTAAGCAGCCTGGCTTCCTAACCAATTGGGAATCCGGACAGCACCTCATGACTCACCGCCCGGCTATCTGATTGGTCAGGAAGCCAGGCAGCCTCTGCAAGTAAAGCCGCTGTTCTATCGAAAGCTCCAACTCATTAAGCTCTCCAACTACCTCACTTCCGGTGCTCAGAAAGACTGGAGCTCTGTACAGTTGCGGTGCGCATAGCGTTTTCAGAATACTCGGCAAGTTCGCCACCTGCTGAATATTGTTAAAATGCCGTTGTACAGAAGCCCCGTCAGTCTTTGTGTTTTGCAGCCTAATGGCATCTGGTCGAAATCTCCAACTTGCAAGTACCTGGCAGTGAGATAGTTGGAGATTTCGACCAGTTGGAGCTTTCGATATAACACGGGTGTTCTTTCGCTAGAAAAACGGCTTCCCTGACAATCAGGAAGCCTGGCGATGGGTCATGATGCGCCGCCTGATTTCCTGATTATCTGGGCACACGGCACCGGTACTCGGTATCGGCGAGTACCAAAAAAAATATATATATCGGTAGTCGTACTTGATACCAGTATCGGTGCATCCCTCCTGGGAAGTGCACAGGAGGAAATCCAGATAAAAGGTAACATTTTCAGGGTAACGCTAAGGCACATTTCAAATTGACATAGCAAATCTTCCCTTTTCTGGGTTCAGGTCCCCTTTAAGCTCTGTAAAGAGATGACTGGTTCTCTTTAATGCACAAAAAAGCTTCAGCCCTGAAACTGATGAAAGTGCTCGTTGAATGGTAAATTACTGTTCACGGGGCTGTAATCGGCCCTATTTTGCACCAGGTTTATATCTGTACATTTTTTTTTTTAAAGACGCTCCAAGCCGAATCCTCCTGATTGTGAAATCTTCTTCTAGCTTTTCTTTTTTTGCATAAATACATATCAATCTGTATAATCGCGAAGCATTTGTATAAAAGCAAATACAAAACACCTCTGAGTTTACAAACTCGCAGGAAAGGAAGCACTGTAACAAACATTTAATGTGTGCGAGCCTTGAATTTATCTCTTGGTACTCAGTAAATGGATCTCATAAAAGCTACAAGGAAGGCTTGAGCAATGCCCTCGGCCGCAGCTCTCATACAAGTCTGGGGTTGGGTATGTCGAGCTGTGGGGGGAGGGTTTTGCCCGGGTCCTGTGTTCCCGGCTGTGCATCCTCTGTCCGGCGCTGGCTATAAAAACTTAATTGGATCATTTCATAGTAATGATATATTTTTAAGCCGTCTGGCAGAGACAAGCACTGAATTATGGACCGGCTTGCGGATCAATACTCATTCTTTTGCTCCCCTGAAATACTAAAAGACCTAGCCGGGCCTGCAGCCTTCGCGGCACTTGGCGTGGCCGTGGGGGGTTGGGCAAGGCGGCCTGTGCTTCGCGTCATGTGCTATAGACTATCTTGGGTGGCTTCTGAGGGCATTTACGACACTTTGGTTGCCGCTTCGGTGTTCCTATGTTTTAGTACAGGGTACGAACGAGCTGATGGAAAACCTTTTAAGGATGACGGAGTATAGTAAAGTCGATAAGGAGGAGGCAGAAGGATGCCAGGATTTCATGTCAAGGGCCGAGAGGAAACGCAAAGCTCAGATATACTAGGCTTGGCTATGACTGTAAACTATGCATTTTACAACTGAGCAAGCAATTCGTTGGTTATATGAAAAAGAGTCATCATGTATGAATGTTGGCAGGAGGAAGTGTCTGTTCTTCCCAAACACTGTGTGTGTATGTATGTATGTATATATATATAATATATATATATACACATACACATTTTTTGGCTTGCAGGCCAACAGCATGGAGGCTGCGTCCCGGCCAATCATGAAGCCAGGCAGCGGTTAATGCCGGCTCCATACTGATTGGCTGAGATGCCGGCTTCCCTGCCAATCAGCATAGAGCCGGCCAAACAGCATGGAGCCAGCTTCCCAGCCAATCAAGAAGCCTTGTGTATATATATGTGTATATGTTTTGGTATAATAAACTTATGCTTTGATATCTTTTAGTCCTTTGAGTGCTTACTAAACCTCCTTATATTTATCATATACAGGTGAAACTCGAATAATTAGAATATCGTGCAAAAGTAATTGCAGTAAGTGCTGCAAAAGGGGCCCAAACCAAGTACTGAGTACATATGCATGCTTGTACTTTTCAGAGGTCCGATATTGTTCTATGTACAATCCTTGTTTTATTGATTGCATGTAATAATCTACTTTTTTGAGGTTGTGGATTTGGGGTTCTTGGGGTTTTCATGAGCTGTAAGCCATAATCATCACAATGATGACAAATCACGGCTTGAACTATCTTGCTTTGCATGTAATGAGTCTCATATATTAGTTTCACCTTTTAAGTTGCATTAGTGAAATAAATGAACTTTGCACGATATTCTAATTATTCGAGTTTCACCTGTACATATCTTTTCCATAAGATAAGAGATGCATGTTACATGTCACCAAGTAGTAACAATGCGTGGTAATAAACGACAAACGCACATCGCCATACAGAAAATGTTCCACAGTAATTATAGCAATCACGTATTTCTTTCAGCCCTTGGTGTATAGGATAGGAATAATTCCAAATGATACGATTCGGTTTGTCTCAGGAGCACTTTTTACATTCTACAATTGTAAACCATGAACAGGGAATAGTTAATAATAAAAACAAATGATGCATTATTCAGGATTTATATAGTGCCAACAGTTTTACAATATAAGGAAGACATTACAGTTACAATATACCGTACTGTAAAGGGAGACAATACAGTTACAATACAATTCCATACAGGAGGGCTAGGTGGACCCTGATCGTGGGAGCTTACAATCTAAAGGCAAAAAGCATTCATTGTTAGGGATGAGTTGATGAAAGACGTGAAAATACAGTTATTTGTGGCCTCTGGGGGAGGATTCCTCGAAGAGGTGAGTGTTTAGGGATCGCCTGAAGACAGACCGAGACAGTTCAGTGACTTATTTTGTTTATTACAACCCCTAAATAGTAAAAAGATCCCCTCCTTTGTTTCCTGCAGGCAGAGAAGGCCAGTGTCAGCCATTTATTGGACTTCCTTTTTCTGGTCTCTCTAGTCATGATCTGGGCGATCTGCCCCATGGACAGTCTCGCTGTGGTCGGCCAGTGGATCCAGTCCAAACTACGAATGGTAAGGGAACAAGGATCACGCGGTCACGTCTGGTCGCAGTGATATCCAGTGAGCCTGTTGTTCATATCAAGGCCACACACTCATATTATTATTATTACTATTATTATACAGGATTTATAGAGCGCCAACAGTTTGCACAGCGCTTTACAATATAGGGAAGACATTACAGTTACAATACAAGACAAGATGGTAAGGAGGGCCCCGCCCCTGAGGGCTTACAATCTAAAAATTATTATGGCTGCGGCAATCCTCCCTTGAGAACACTGGCATTTTATTTTGTTTGCATTTCTCCATTTCTATATTTTGCCTGTTCAGCTGCACTGTGTGGTTGGAAACGTGCCTGTGCCCCATGCTCGGCTCAGCAGCAGCACACTGTCCTTGGAAAACTTCCCCCCATTCCATTGCTGCCCTTTACCCCAGCCCAGGATCTCAGTGTCCTTGGATTCCTGAGGTTCCACCCCTGGCTTTGCAGCAGTGTATCTACAAATGTCTCTCCCCAACCCTACGTGTAGTGTTCCTTAGGCCCCATTCACACACGAATCGGCCGGCACGTACAGCTCCGTGCTGTGTGCGGTGCCGTACCAAGCAGCTGCCGGGAAGGACAGGTGCTGCGTGTGATTAGCACGCAGTTCCCGTCCTTCTCTATGGGGCTATGCGGCCGTACGCCCCCCTATGCTCCCCTCAATTGCAGGTCCGTATGGATGCGGGTTTTCTGGCCGGGACGCATACAGGATCTATTCCGGCGCTCACCCGCACCCCTACGGACCTGCAATTTAGGTGAGCGTAGGGGGGCGCACGGCCGTGTAGCCCTATTGAGAAGGACGGGGGCTGCGTACTAATCACACGCAGCACCTGTCCTTCCCGGCAGCTGCTTGGTACGGCCCCGCGCGCAGCACGGAGATGTACTTGCCGGCCGATTCGTGTGTGAATGGGACACTTCGTGTTATGGGGTATAGCCTGTCTCAATCACTGTCTGTTATGGGGTATAGCCTGTCTCGGTCACTTCCTGTTATGGGGTATACCCTGTCTCGGTCACTGCCTGTTATGGGGTATACCCTGTCTCGGTCACTGCCTGTTATGGGGTATAGCCTGTCTCCAAATTGCGCTCCTGTGTTGTCACCCTGTCACGTTCACCCCTGATGAAGACTACAAGCGGTGTTTATCATAAGTGTTTATGATGCGCAGTGCCTTAGCAAACAAAGGGTTTTTCATCTACTTTAATGGCTTTGCTGGTTCGATGGAACTGACATTATGAAGGGGATATGTCACTTTTAGATTGTGTAAAAACATATTAGAAACCAGCATGCTCTCCAGCAGTCATGCAAGCTGTGCTAAGCTGAAATATCAGCTTTTTGGTGGA